TCTTTGTTCGAACTCATCAATGCGCACGAGGTGTTGACTGTCGACCAATAAAAAAATAGATAAATTTTTACTTTCATTTTAGTCTCTTGATTACAAAAACGTACAATAATTTTTCGCGAAGGGGACCGCGTTCATACAAAGGCTGCCTGGGAAAATACAATTCCAAGTAGCACAGGTGTTACGGTTGCAAACCCTAAGATTCAAGGTCCGGGACATAAACATATTACGCAAGAACGAAGCAGTTGTCCAGGGTATTCTTCGGTCACGTACACTATTACCAAACTGAAGGGAACTTTTGAAGGTGCAGTGCAACTGGCCGTCTTTGAAGTTCGATCTGCACGCACATTGTTCTACCATCTGACTCCATTTTCTTTACTCACGTTCTATAGGTTGAGCAAAGGTAGTAAAGAAATAAAGAAAGGTAGTGACAAAACCTGTCACACGGCAGTACAAGATTATTGGTCGTATTAAATAAATCTCAAACAATGGATTTACCCAGTTCGGTCCAAGTGGACAGCTCTCGTCAGTGGAACTGAAGTGGAGATGCGTTACCTCAAAGGGCATAAAAGCTTTGAAGTGAATGGCTTGTCTCTATTTACTCCCAAGGATGGGGCTCAGCCACCGACCTGAAGTGGACGAAAATCCTGGATTCATTGTGAGAACGCGAACAAGTCGCGCGTAAATACTGTGAATATGTTATCTCATCGACCTACAAGAACGGGGATAGAGTTTCTCGTGAAAAACAGAAAGATTAGCTTGAAGTATATCAGCGTAGAGTTGCTCTCCAGTGTCATACTGCTTCGCTGTTAGGCTGCACGTGAACAGTGCTCATCTGAGAATCACCGTTGGTCAAATTCTGGAATAAACACATTCCTTCCTCAATCTGAAACCAAACTTGGACTGAATCGATTGCACTGCAATACGGCGTTACCTCTTCTTGAATGGTGAACCGGAGAAGTTTATCTTTTCTAATGCAATCCTTTTGTACGAACAGCCAAATTCGCGTTCCAGCTAACGGTTCTTTTTCTTCGGAGTTCATCGCGGAAGTTGATGTTCATCAGGATTTTCTACTCTCACGTTTTCCTTGCAACTTTGTAGTAGATATCATTATCGAAACTGCCCAGTTTCCTCTCGAAACTTATAGACTGGCTGTCGGAGCACATAAAGAACCTCACACTGTTGAGCGAAGATCCAGGGTGCACGCTTTTATGGATCATCTGGGATTTAGTGTAGCATGTAGGCATGTGCCTTTCATCTTCAAAGTTGAAAATACTTTTACAGGACTGGGCTGGTCCAACTCCCAATTTTGCTCCAACAACAGACACAATGGAGAACTAGAACTTATTTTCCGATTTGTGAAGTTACAACTCTATTCACGAAACAGTCACCGACTCAGTTTCAGCAAGCACGAAGAAGGCTGCCTTGACGTTAGCTCACGTGAGACATCTTTGGCACTGTTGTGGCCTGTAGATGACTGCGACTGAAACTGTTACCACACAGAATGACTGAATGATCGGCTCATGTGACTTATCGCAACACACAGACATCATGTGGACTAACTCTATTACAAGGTCGATTCGTTTCAGCCTATCATTTCAGTGCTGATTTGTTCAAGTTTATTGATTCGTTGACTGCCTAAATCACATTTGTTGCGGTTTGTATTATCTAATCCACCTACAGAACATCGAGTATTAGTATTGATTCAAAAATGGACTGGTCCAAACGAATATATATATTTATGTCGCGGTTACACCTCCTGGGTACCAGCACACCTCTTGACAAAAGTTTTGTACCACTGAGATTTTTGGTTTATCTCCTCTCCCCCAGGTCCGATCATCACTATGTTTGAGAATCCAGACGACAACGGAATGAAAAGCCGAAATGCAAAATTTCATCAAATTATTTAGACGATGAATGTTTGGATTAGCTTTACTTTCAACAATAAGATGTCGACAAAACAGAATTTTCACCGCGACAAAAGCATTGCATCTCCCCCTCCCACGATGGACTTCATACATCCAACTGGGTTTTGAAACGGATGCGATAGATGTCTCGAGCTTTTACTTCGTCATGGTAACTAGCATTTGTGGGACTGGTGCAAGTTACGGTCATGCTCACATCCCTTTCAACGACCTTGAATGAACAAGGACATCCGGGCCGGTCACTAACAGGGATTGCCAACCAAGTCGCGATGGGAGAGATTTACTGATAACGAGAAATTCAGAAGTGATGCCTTTTGTGAGATCAATGTCAGCAGGTATAAGACAGTCAGACAGTGTAATAAGTCCCTATCACACTGTGGCATGAAATATGATGTAGGAGCACCTAAAGACTAATCATAAACAGATAAGACAACAGATAAAGCTCTCAGACAAATTGCCACCTATAACTCTTAACTCTGAATTATGCATCAGTGAGTAAAACGGTGCGACAACGGACACCAGAAACGATCTCCTAGATGAATGACAAGAAATGGAGACGTTGCATGGCTCTGACAACTTTAGAAGCAGAAGGAGTTTTATTGCAAACTGAAGCTTAGTAACGTGGGGAAAAGAACGAGATTGTTTCTACTTTAGCGACGAACAAAGATTTGATTTAGACGGGGTCGGGGACGTGGAGCTGTTATTGGTTTAGTCTGTGGAAAGAGCGGTATCTCAGAGAGCGGTTTAACGATCGAAACTTTGTGGTTGTACGGGGTGCATTATCCAGTAGCGGTTCAACCGAACTCGTTATACTGTGTGGAGTGAAAGATTCTGTGCCAATGCTGAAGTGAAACTTAATGCTAGCAATGGCATTGGATGATCCCACTGGAGCCATTTTCCAGTGTGATATCGCTGTAATTCAGTACTTGTATCTAACAAAATACTGGTTGTTGTATATAAATATATGGGCGGGGGGGGGTGATCACAATCTAGTCATTTGTCCGGTATCGACTTTACGAGGTTCCACAACTCAGGTTGTCGTTCTCTGTTCGTCAGCCTGATGAATACGTATCGAGGGCACTCAAGACAACGCCGATACGTTCTCACGCTGGCGGCTGATCCCAATCCATTTCAATTTCAAATCGCGAGAATCCTCTGGGGCAGGTTAGGCTTTCCCTGACAGTTGGCATCCTCAGCTTCGAGAGGTGAGGTCTCGCATCCGCAAAACAAAACTGCAAGCCGCGGTGCTGTACACCGTTCCCTTGGGGAACAATCTTGGTGAATCCAAGAGTGTCGCAGCTCTAGCCTGTTCTCATCTTTATGTGATATCCCCTCTGATTCTACCTTCAGTAGCCGAGATAATTAAAGCTCCCAACCACTTCTAGCTGGTAGCCACAAAGGGTGAGTGGATCAACGGAAGTAGAATGAACATGTTTCATCGTACAGCTTTTTATTTTTTTGTGTTAGTTTCTTATCTGGGGGGAGGGGTGTGTGTGTGCGTACATTAAACCATTACTGAAGATTATTTCTTCATATCCCAACGTCAAATCAAGGTCTGACCGCCGCGACGCTTCTTCCAACTCAACCGGAATAGCAAAGACAGCATGGAAAGTGACAGGATGGCAGGCATAGGCAAAACTCTTTAGCAGATGTTTTAAGGGATGCACACACTAGTTTACCCAAGGACAGATTTCATTGGTAACATATATTTTAGGTATATCTGAGCCCATTCTGGATGCCATATAAATCGCGGTACAGTAATCTTTCTAAAAAAAGAGACTTGTCCAGAGAAGTCAGCATCGGGATTGTTGCACCGTGATTTGTTCCGCATAATGCGAACTAGAAAAAGATTGAAATATAAGGTATAAACATAATCTTTCAAGTTCCTAACCACTTTCCAGCAACGAGTACCACATTCAGTCACTCGATACTGATGAACGAAACAGACATCGTCGGTGAGCTTTGGATACGACCTATAGGCAAATAGTTTAGCGATACCATCATCTTTTTGAAGAAAAAACAAACAAACAAATAGTAAATTAGAAACAACATCTCAGAATTTGTGGAATGGTTTTATTCGCGGCACGCTTTTCCTTCTTTGTTACTGCCGTCATGTCATTCCACACTTTGCAAAGAGCAATCAAACGCAGATATTGTTGTGCTGTGCCAAACCATTTCTTCATCCTTCGATCTAAGCTTCTTCAGTAGATTCAGTCGTTGACCTCCTATTCGAAGCTTAGCTTAAACACCAGAAAATGTGTTGAATGTTTATATAGTTTTGCACGCTCTTCATTTCCGGCACGCCCCACAGTGAAAGATAATAATCGTTCATATGGGGTGACTGTTGTGACTGTAGATAGCAATCTTCGTTGGTCAACCCACATCCATAATTGAATTGGTCAACGGTGGCGTCCGTCATTTCAAATTCGAAAGCCCAGTCAGTTATTTATACCTTCGTATATCAATGTGTTTCCCCATCTTACTTTTTATTCCCCATTTATTTTCCCTGAATAAATTAAATGAGATTACAAAGTCTTACGCGGCGGTTTAATCATTATTAGGCGCATTTCTTCTAATTCTGTGATTGGGTTAATTGTGAAAGCTTCAGATTATCATAGAACTTCCCGTGTCCAATTTGCGGAGGGGATTCTCACAGATTCTGACCATCTATTGCAGGCAGAACTGACAAGTTGTCGTGCCCATCATTCCACACGCCCAATTCCGTCAAATTTCATCTCGTGTAAACACCTGGCAAAATTCATTTCAAGTTCTGCTATGCACGTTTAGCCACATACAAAGAGAAGGAAACAAGTGAAATTTGTCTTATTCTTAGATTTTCAAATGTTCCTATGCAGTCTATGAGCAGTTCTCCCTTTAACATACTCCCCTGTGACGGCTTGCATGCATAGGTATTTTTTAGCTGAAATTTAAGTTTCAGTGCTTGCAAAAGTAGCACACAATACAATACAATGCAAGGCAGCAAGCTTACACGCTTACATCAGCCCCCGTAACCAAAATATGCATAGAAATGCGCAAAATATTTTGCATTACAACTGTTTTGAACCAGTTAACTGTAACTCACCGGAATGAAATGTCCCGCCGAATCTTCATATGCATTCGATTTTCGTTCCCAACATGAAAGTCAAACAACACATTGACCCAATGAGTTGCTTTTTGCTCAAAATCCGGATGACTGATACGTCGATAAATCGTCCCAATAGGCGACGGGCAAGAATCTTCCGTGGCGTTGTAATTTTTTAGCTGACTTATGGTACGTCGTGTCTCACTATCCACAGATTCTCCACTGCTGACAGATTGTCGCAGTAATGTGCGTTTCAGGATAATTGCCGTGTCGCTTTTCAGTGGTGGGGCCCAGATAACACTATCACGCAAGAGTCCTTGATCTGCCTTTGGAGTATTTTTTTCCCAACATTGGTCATTAATGAATGGTTCTATGGAAGCACTGCTCTCCTTGGAGATTGATCGATAATCCGAACTAAAATTTCTACCATCCATCACTCTGTCATGATCGATAGGTGAGTCAGTTTCATCCAAATCGCGTATTTGCCAACTTTGCGACTGTTTAGGGGTTTCGTATTCAACAGAGGATGTGTGAAAATAGTTCCTCATTTGAATACTGGTTTCTGCTGCACTGCATTCTTGATCATACCAATCGGACACTTCTGAAGGGTGCAGACTGCAGTTGGAAGCCAGCAATAAACTTGCAGTCATCATGACAGACGTGGCCTTGAAATTTTCAAATGAGGTAACTGATCGATACAAGCACACCATTCCCGTGAGCTCTACCCGATTGTAATTGAAAGACAATCCTCACTGGTTTTTGAAAACCTGTTTTGACAAATTCAATTAGCATTTCTAAATCGAATTCTGGTCAGGTCACAAAAAGTGAGCCTGTTGATAGTGTGATTTAGTTTCCTCTGCTCGTGAGCCGCGCTGTAACTGGTTGAGAGGTTCTTGATCTTCCTATGTTGGGCTTCTAAGCGGTGGTTAGACTGGGAGGGAAACGAGACGACAGAGTTTTCAGTCGGGAATAATAATGGGATCCGATCAATTGCTGTTTATCGCCTGCACTGGCTTCGAGTAAAATATAACTATGAGAGGAAAGAAGCATCAAGAGTTGTGTGGACAAAGAATGGTTACGAGAGAACAGACGGAAAATAGATAACAACGGCAGCAAGGAAGACGAGAATTGGGTTGAAGTAGCACATAATTAACTATCTGGTCGTTTTGGCTCGACCACTTACGGAAGGCCCTTAAACACCGGTTATATAGCTGATCCTGCCGGTACGTACCATCACACGTTCACGCAAACTGTTCTATTTATAGTAAACGTGGTTCGGTAAATACTTCGCGTAAAAATCCCTTCCGGAATATTATTTTACAAATTTTGAGGGATGATCGTTTAGTGTCATGTTCTCATTTAAGGTAAATAGTGGCCTACTTTTTCTGAAATAGTTCTGTGATAATCGGAATAGTACGGAATGTAGAAAAATGAGAACCCGTACTGTAATGCTCAGAACTGGATTGGTTCCAACCCGAACTGCAGACACCAATGAAATACACAAGGAATTGATAGCAGAAAATGCTTATGTTTATTGATAGAATTAGAGCATGTTTTATAGAAGGTAATAGTCCATATGATTGGTTGAACGACCGTCGTCCAATCACGTAACCGTTAGCACCGACGCATCACATGTACTAACTCTGACGTCATGTTCGCCCGGTGTACCATTGGCCGAGCTTCCTGAACGGTGATTGGATGGCATGAAACTGTACCAGGTCGTTCCTGGATTGCGGTCACGGAAGTCTGGATCACCACAAGTTCTCAATCAGATTATTCAGGAGAAAAAGTTAAAACTAAAATGATGGCAGAATCAGTCCTGGAGCCTAAAAGGTGTAAGAAACACCTTGTAAATCGGTGTTGTTATTCCATCCCGAGTATGGTCATCATGCTCCGCTTTATACAGCCGCGCCAGGACATTTGGATCTCGCGTATATCCTTGTCGGGAGCAACTGATACATCGCTCTGTCCTCTGATCTTGCTGATATAGCACACTGTTTTTCAGCTTCAAATTCACCCGAGATTATTGAGCCTAGATTCCACAGTTCGGCTGGATCGTGTGTGAATGTGTGTGTA